GCCATTGGTTCTCTTGTTCATTGTGTCATGTTCTGATTGGTAGTCTTAGTCATGTCTTGTTTTCCATTGGTTTGTTCATGTCATGTGACCCTTCTTGTTTGATACAAATAGCCCTCATGTTCCCATTGTGCCTTGTCGTGTATTGATGTTGTAACCCGCTGTCGGTGAGTCTAGTCTGTTTATGCCTCGTCAAGCCTGTTCATGTCAAGTCAAGTCTGTTCATGTCAAGTCAAGTCTCGGATTATTGTTTGGATCACCTGTAAATAAACTGCACTTGGGTTCTTCCCTACGCTCGCCTTCAGTGGACTGATTCGTTACAAAAACAAGATTAGGAACCTTAAAAATTGTATAATAGGGGCACTTTAATGAAATTAACACTTCTCAGTATGCATACTACAGAGTGTTAAAAATAAAAATTGTTGTGTTGGTTGGGAAGATGTTGTAGACAATAAATATCACATATACAAAGCTAACCGTACTGTTCTTCCAACAACCTTGATACTTAGCAACATCGTAAAATTGTTCTTTAATGAGATACTATCATCATTGTGTTGCTTGTGCTGAACAGTACAAGTCATGTGGAAGGGCCTTAAAATTTAAACATTTAAATAACCGTGGGTAATGATGTAAATGAACTGAATTATTGAATGAGCATCATACCTTTGCGATAACTGAGGTGACATCAGATTCAGTGGTGTAGTTGAGTTTTCCCACTGCTGCACATTTCATTTGGTACTCAGTATTTGGTCTGAGATCAGTCAGAGTGACTGTATTCTGGTTCTTTGACACAGTTTGAGATCTCCAGTCTTTCTCCTCCTTCATTTTGTACAGTAATTTGAGCTCCTCTGTAGCAGGACACGGTGAAGACACTTTCAGATCGACTTGCCTACTTCTGACATCTTCAATGATTGGACAGTCTGGTTTTGATGGAGGAGTGAAGAAAACGGCTTCATTACATCCATTTTCATACACAAGAATACAGGAACCTGGATGTTTTTCATGGTATTTTATGGAAATCATAAATTTAATGCTTTGATTGCTATGTGACGTCATCAGCTCTTTAAATATTTTCAAATGTTCTCTCATTTTCTCCCTGACGCTTCCAGTGAGCCATGACTGAGATGCATCATGTGTCTTCTTTGGGTTTCTCTTTATTTGAGGATTCATGTCATTTTCTTGCTCACTAAGTAACTCATCTGGCTGCTCAAGAGAACTGAAAGTGTAACAAAACACATTTTCCACCTGAATATCTGACAAATATGAGTCCAAGCTTCTGTTCACTTCGGCTCCAAGGCCCATTAACTGCTGAAGGAACTCATTAATGGTGTTCAATTCTTTTTCTTTCACTGTGATCCACTCTTTTAGACACTTTTCATTAAATGGAGACTCATCATGAGCTTGTAGAAGATCCATCAGAGCACTAGACTCTTTCTCACAAGCTTTAACTGACTGGATCACAGATTTAATTCGGTCACTGAATTCTTGTCTGTACATTTGACAGTTTTGCTGCATATCTTGTATTTTCTTATAAAGTGCAGTAAAAGTTGATTCACTGGTGTTTTCCAAAAGTACACTGCACTTGCTTTCAGTCAAACTGAGATTTTCAATTGCAGACTCTTTGGCTTTGATAAGACTCTGGTTTATGACTGTGAGCCGTGTCACATCACTGTCTAGGGTGTAGTTGAGTTTTCCCACTGCTGCACATTTAATACTGTACTCAGTATCTGGTCTGAGATCAGTCAGAGTCACTGTATTCTGGTTCTTTGACACAGTTTGAGATGTCCAGTCTTTCTCCTCCTTCATTTTGTACAGTAATTTGAGCTCCTCTGTAGCAGGACACGGTGGAGACACTTTCAAAACCACTTGCCTACATCTGACATCTTCAATGATTGGACAGTCTGGTTTTGATGGAGGAGTGAAGCAAACAGCTTCATTAGATTCATTTTCATACAGCAGTATGCAGGAACCTGGATTATTTTCCATTTCTTTTGATGCAACAATAAACTTCACTGATTTGCTACTGTTTAAACCAATCAAGTTTTTAAATACCTTCAAGTTGTTCCTCATAGTCTTTTGGATGTCAGGTGTGAGCCAAGTCTTGTGTCCAGATTCAAAGCTTTTCTCTTCATTTGTTCTTTTTGTTGAGCTCAGGTAGGTCTTTTGTTTAGAAAGCAGCACATCTGGCCAGCCCAGTGATGTGAACGTGTAGCTGACCAAATGTTTAACTTCCAAATTCATTAAATTTTTATTGAGGTTGATTTCTACCATTACTCCTTGATCATTTAGTTGTGTGAGCAATGTTTTCATGATGTCAGATTCTTCCTCTTTCTCTTTCAGCCATTGTTCAAGAGTGTTTCTTTCAAATGGAGATTCCTCATGATCATTTAGCAGATCGATCAATGCTGTATCCTCTATAAATTTTCCTCTGATCTTTGGTAAAAGAGAGCCAAGTTTCTTTATGAGACTCAACCTGCACTGGTAGCAGTTTTTTTTCATGTCATTGATTTTGTCATGAAATGCAGTAAATGTCAAAGCAGGCATGTCTGTCAGAAGATCACTGCATTTCATCTCAGTTGTACTTAAACTCTCAATTACAGATTCAATGTCTGTGCTTAGACCTGTGCTGATTTCATGCTGAAACTTTACAACTCTTGAGAAAAGTTTGTCCAAAGGATAAAGCCAAACTCTCAGAGGAACCGCATGTTCTTTGTTTTCTCCAAGCAGTTTGGGAAGATCTTCAAAAACTTTCATAGCATCTTCAAAAGAGGTCGGATTACATGGTAGCTGGAAGTCACCATACAATTTACAGCTGAATTTATGGACAGCAGTCTTCTGAATGTCATTCAGTTTCATACTTGCATCAATGCTTGCAGATGAAATGCCTTTTAGCTGCTCTAATGCAGCTTTTACTTCTCCGGCTATCTCCATTTTGTCCTCATCTGATGAAACTTCTCTGTCAAAAACAAAGCAGACATCTGCTCCATACAGCACTGCTGTCACTACATGTGTGGCTACATCATTGTCATAATGAGCCATTTCTCCAGAAGAAAAGTGGTTCATGATCAGTTCTTCAAACTTAGTGGTTGAATGATAATGTAATGTCAGTCTCTGTTGACTGAATGATTTCTTGGTGTCTTTGAGAAAATTGGCAGCTCCACCCACATTGACGAGTCCACCTAAAAGACTCAGTTTCAGACAACCATCAATATTCAGCAATCTAGATTTGTCCTCGATTGAGTCTGAAGCAGTGACTGTGAAAACTGTATTAATTTGGGTTTTCGTGGTTGTGTTCTGCTGCAGCTGCTCTTTAGTCCAAAGTCTGATTCCTGCAATGGAGAAAAAATATATATTTTTTATAACATTAAATAAATAAATTTGTCTAAAAATTTTATTCATTTTTAGACAGCAGTTTAACCAGAAACTCTGCACTACCCAACCTTTATTCTCATACAGCAATCAGTGTTAATTTCGTTGACGAATAATTTTTGTCAATGACATTTTTTCACCAAGAAAAACGAGACTAAAAATGACTAAAAAAAACCTGTTTTGAATGCACCTCTCAGACGGCGCTCGAGTACTGAACTGAGTTCTCTTTCACATCTTATTGCACTTGAATCGACAAATACACGCACAGTTTTGTCAAAATGTTCATTTGGCAAGTACTGACGTAAACAGTCATGTCTTTAAGCAAACATAAACAGTTGGGAGAATATGTAATGTCTATCAGTATACTGCATCAATACATTCTGTCTTAAAGCAACAGCAGGCTAATAAACCTGTTGTATCATTAATGTTAATCTAACAAAAAAAAGAAAAGGAGAAAATCACTCACTGTTCTTGACTGAATAGCTTTAATAAGGATTAATCAATAAATCTGCCTGCTTGAAGGAATGAACGATTTTTTGCAATTTTTGCAAATGCAAAATGCAGTTTTTTAGAAAGAACACATACTGTATATAACCACAGTGTTTTTACTGAAAAGAAGACCATGTTCCCTTTTGAATGGGAACTTGCACTGCATCTGATATAGATGCTATGGGGAGTGCTATCAGTGTGACCGTTGTCTGAAGCACGTGTGAAAACATTCCAATTTTATTGGCCAGCCACAGCCCGTGACGTCATTAGCGGAGTGCCCGGAAGTATAAGAGGATGCCCGTAATACACGTCATAAATTTTTTTCTCTTCAGGAACTGTTTGTTGTATATAGAGCATGATGGAGGCATTATGTGGAAAAGAAGGCAAACGTTTTAGGAAGAGTGTGCCTCCATGTCCCAGTCAACATGAGCATGTGGATTTGGTTAATTGTGGCGTCATTGATGGCATAAATTGAGTCGACTCAACCTTGACGTACATTTTTAATATGCGTCAGGGTGTTTTGATTATTGACTATTGATGCTGCTCTTAGAGTGTGGTGAGGGTGAGGCAGGACTGGCACTACTAGGTAAAAGTTCATTTAGATTTAGAATAACTAATGGGGTGATAACTTGTAGATATGAGTGCAATACTTCTAAATGAATGTCCAAAAAATAAAATAAAAAACTAAATTAAACAAAAAATCAGATCTCTCTCTTTTTTGCCGCCCTGACTGTGTTGCCATGCTAGGCAGCTGCCTGGTTCCCCTATAGAAAAAAGCCTAAAAAGCCCTGCTTTTAATTAAAAATTTACAATTAGAAATCATTTAATGTTCATTTAAAAAAATGCACGTTCGTGCGCGTGCCTCAAAGGAGGACTTACAATGATTTACAAAGATACATAACAGCTACAAGTGTATGCACTACTTGCTTTATGCAAGCACTATATAGGATAAATCACTATACAGGATTTACCCTATTATACTTTATCGACACGAATTGATAGGTGAAACAACAAACAGCCACCCACAATTAGTCTAGAAACAAAGCATCAGGCTGTCTTTGAGTTCCCATAAAAAACGGTTAAAGTTACTCGTCGTCAGGCTACAGAAGAATACCATAATTCATAGGCATAATTTGCGGGTGGGACATGTCCCCACCACTTTTTGCCACTTATTAAGGGGAGCCGAGCTCCCCCTAGCTCCCCCGTAGTTCGCACCCTGCCTCTGCACTGCAAAGATGGATTTTGTTGATAATGATTTCATTTGATTGGTAACAGCCCTATACTGTGTTATTATTATCACTGAATTTAATTTGAATGTTAGAATTTGACATAAAAGGTGATTACAAATTTGACAGGTAAAAAGTTTTGAAAACAATACGTAAAAATTATATAGGTAAAAATGCCCCTGGAAATCCATTTAAATTAATTTAAAATCATTTTAAAAAGTTAATTTCTGTCACTGCTGTGAACTGACTGAATATGAATAATATTCATAATCTTCAGGAGTCAGCTGTCCTAAACCAACCTAAACCAGCCATACCTAATTATTGTTACCCAAAAATCTTGAAAATATTGAGATATGATGTTTGTTAATATTGCACACCCCTAATGTACAGTATTCATTTTTATTTTTTCAGAATTAAACTTAAAAAAAAAAAAAGCTGTAAATTCGACTTTAAAAATGGTCAGTGTGTTCGTTTTTAGGGTTTTTATGAAAATCTAGGCTGCATCTCCCCAGTAGTGGTGGTTATGCACAGATCAAGAACACAATGTTTCCCCAGTGGCAGGCATTCTTGAGCTGTGTCAAATGGAAAAGAAAGAAGCTGTCCAGCTTACTCTCCTGTTGAGATCCACCTGTAAGGCTACAGTAGCCCGCAAGGGAGGGCAGAAGATTCTTGTGGCTGGGACTTCCCTTGAGATAAGGGGGTCAGAATTACCACCACTAGACAGTCCAGAACATCATTCATGCACCCTGGATAAACGCTCTGACTCCAGCTAAGTGTTCTGTTGAATTAATGTATGCTTGCCTACTCTTTTTGGTTCATATTCACCTAGTTAGGCAGGCATACACCTCACACCTCGGCATGGTGGAGTGGGTATTTGTTGAGTTCCCGTTTGAAAGGGAACATCTTGGGTTCTGTGTCTCGTTGCCATGCCTTTTGGGTATGCATATCTCCTCCAGACAAAGAAGTTGATGACATGTATTATGGGCATCCTATTATACTTCCCGGCACTCTGCTAATAACATCACGGGCTGTCGCTGGCCAGTGAAATTTGAGTGTTTTCAGACGCAGTGTCTCATTCCCCTTCTCAGGGAACCATGGTTACATACGTAACACGAGACGTTCTTTAATTTAATTATTTAATATTTAGTTATTTAATTTTAAGATAAAGACATGTGAAATGTTACATCAGTTAAAGGAACAAAGCTTATCGTTCTGAAAAGCGAGGTGTGCTGTGATTGGCTAGCTATTCAGTGCGTTGTGATTGGCCGAATACCTCAAGCGTGAGACGGAAATGTTACGCCCCTCACATACTGCTGATGCCGTGTCCAGCCGGAGCGACGAGGCATAAACATTAAAACCCATTACAAATGAGGCATTTGTTGCATCCAGTGGGGACATAATTACTGATTATAATGACTTATACTGTCTTTTTACGCGTTACGTTGGGTATTGCGCTGCGTAAACATAAAACCATGTCTGCATTTGTGATCGAAGAAACAACAAACAACAAGCCTACTCTACACTGCTCAAAACTCGCATTTGAATCAAATTCTTTAAATATGTAAACGTACATACAGGCTGTGAGTCAGAAGCGCCAGACTGTCCTTGCAAAG